TTAACCAATGTCATAAAACAATATGTGTACTACTGTTTCATGAGAAACTATTTGTTCTGTAAGCCTTCACCTGAAGTACAATAAAAAAAAAAATTAATGGAAAAAGTGCCCAGGAAAAAAAAAAAAGTATTACACATTTTTCTACTGATACACACTTTATTTGAAGGAACCCTGGAGGCTCAGAGGTAGAAAGACCTGGCAGTCTGCTCCATTAAGATTACAGCCTGGAAAACTCTACGGGGCAGTTCTGCTCTGTCAGATGGGGTTGCTATGAGTTGGAATCTACTTGACGGCACCTAACAACAACACTTTAATTAAATAATCCGCTGCTAATGCTGTAGGGTCACTATGAGTCCCAGTTGACTTGACGGCAGTGGGTTTGTTAAGTGCTCTTGAAGCCTTGGTTATTTTATTTCCAGTCTAGAGTAAAACTGTGCAGTTGAGGAGTCTTTTTCTGTGTTTTGTATGTAACGGGTAAGTTGAGGCACAGATTATTTTCTTTCTGGAGTCTGTGTTAAACTGATAGCACTGTTGTTCTCCAGAGTTCAGGTGTTGGAGATGAGCCAAGAAGAAGACTCTTGGACCCTGGATAATGTCCTCGTGAAGTTCATAGATGAAGGCAGGACCGGACTTGTCACAAGAGACCAACTGCTTCACCTCCCAGAAGGTTTCCGCACTCTTCCGCCCCAGGCTGTGGAGTTTATTGTTTGCAGAGTGAGACCTGCTGACAATGAGGTTGAGTGGAATCCAAAGGTGAGTTCCTTTGCCTTTTTGTTTTGTTGATGTTTAGTATACACTGAACTCAGAATTGAGGCGTATTTGAATTTAGAGTATTGAGTCTGGGCATAGTGCTTGCCAATCAGTCATTGCTTCATGTTCGTGGGTATTTGAAGCTGCAGTCTGCTTTGATCCCTGCTAATGCGGGAATTCACTAGCCGCCTGCTGTTCACAGAAGCCATCCCTGAGGCTCAGAGAGGAATCGGGCACACTTGTTCACTGTTAGCTTCGTTTTTAGTGCTCACAGACTTAGAACTGGTATAAAATATGCCTCGTGATAAAACAAAAGTTGCTCTCAAGTGAAGGAGAAGAGACAGTGTAAGCACCTACAAAAATGGCTACTCCAATCAAAGGGGGAACAGAAGTGATGGAGAGGCCAGCTAATTCTGTTGGGGTCAGGAGGGTGAACAAGGAAGGTGAGATAGAGGCCAGAAAAGCTTCCAGAGGAAAGGACATTTCTTCTGGGCCCTGTGGGGTACTAGGAGGTCACCAAGCAGAGCAGAAGGCACTGAAGGCAGAGCAGACGGCACTGAAGGCAGAGCAGACAGCCTTTGCCAAGACATGGAGCACAGAAGAGCGGCCCTGTGTGGGCTCACGTGGCTGTCCATGGTGGGAGTGGAGAGGCCCAGCCCTCACCTGCCTGGTCGAGTCCAGAGAGTCCTGCTCTTCACTAGAGCAGTGAGTCGTGTCCATAATGATGCTCCTGATGCTTCAAGGGAAGGTTAAATTTTGTATAATTTGATTAATAGGCTATGAACTAAGCAATTTCAGTTGGCAGAGTAAAAACAGTGTGAGTTCTAAGCAAGGAATAAAACAGGTAAATGTTTCCACAGTATGGGATAGATAGCCTTACTGTTGTGAGGTTAGTAGAAATGGCTTTTATTAAAATGCGTTCTTTTTCCTTCATGCGAGCAATTTTCACTGAGTGTCCACGTGTGCCAGGTGCTGCACTGCTGGGTTCTGGGATGTAGCCATTAGCTAGATGGCCATGGTGCTTGTCCTCAGGAAGCAGTTGGTCTGTAATGGTGATCGACTACAGTGTTTCTTGAGGAACAGCCTTCTTTAGAAATGGGAGAAGTTCTCCTGCATGTGTTCTTCCAAGTTTATTTATGAAGTTCAAGGAGGATGGAAACAGTTTAATCATGATGGGCCAGCTCCCTCCTGTTCTGTTTCACTGGAGTGAAAACATGCACGATGGATTGCTCGGACAGGTCTCGTGTTGTGATCCTACTAGAGAGGAAGACGCCACGTGCTTAGGAAAGAGATCAGGGTACCTCAGTTCCAGCTTCTCTGGCTGCAAAGTGGCTCTGTCACCGTGACTTCCTCCCCTGGAGTAGCAGGAACAACTTTAGCTTCACTCACATTGAGCTTTCAAAGAAACGAACATCCATGTGTTAAAGACAGGTTGATACTTGACAGAGGAGGCAGGGTATACCTGTCCACGGTGGGAAACATGCAGAGCTAGGAATCCAAAGACACGACCATCCCCCTGTTCTGGAACTCACTAGTGTGAGACCTTGGGTAGGTTTGCATTCCGTTCTGCATCTCTCCATATTAAACTCTGCTGTTGCCATCATCCACAAAACAGGGATGACGACCTCCATAACCTATCTCGTATGGTTGTTGTCAGGCTCAAGCAGGGCCGGATGAAGGCATGTGAGCGCTCTAAACACTGATAATCTGTGGTGCCCCCTCCTCTGCTTACTCATGCATTCAAACAGGATATATGACATATATATATATATATACACACATAAATATGTGTGTGTGTGTCTTAACCTATCCGTGATGTAACTTCTGTTTAAACGTGACTGTAATAGTGACTGAACGCAGAAGTGGCATGTGCCATTTTAGTGGAATGAGATGGACTGGATTATGAAATTTTTGGTGGGTGCCGGGTACTAAGATTTTTGTTGTATACCACATTCTCTGCAAAAATAATAGTCCACATATTCCACAACAAAGAAAATGAGTCAGTGAATATAGTTGATTCAGCTGTCAATGTAAAATTCTCTTGGTCTCCCACAATGAAAAATTGACTTTCACTAATCTGCTTTAAATGACTCATACTTCAATTTTGATGCTTGTTTTGTAGTGAATGCTATAATTATAAATGAACAAATGAAAAAATGTCATAAAAGAAAATTCAGTGATTAGAATACGAATATTACAACAAGTTACTATATTTTATTTTTAGATCTTTCATCTTCAACATGTTATAATTAAAAACATTTCTATTCTTTGCTCTTACGAATTCTTCGATGATTTCATCACAATAAAGCTGCCAAACAATATCTGTTTCCATACATAAGGATAATGAATCGAATCTTTCTTGAATTGTTGTATGCTGAGGTTTTTTGAATCTCTTGTTCTTTTGTGCAGCTTATGGTCATTAAAGTTAGGAATATGCGTAGAGCAGTTTCAACAGTGGGAGATATGCATTGTATTTTATCTTCTGTTACGGAATCATACACGCCTACATGAGTGAAATTTGTGTTTCGTGAATCTGTAAACTTAGTTCTCATGTAAGAATGAAATTGTCAGTCTCCATAAAGGTTTGTATTTAAGTCATCTGGATAAGCCTGCACTAATTTCTTGGATGACTTCGTGCATTCTTGGCCAGGTGTATCCACAGTATTTGAAAAGGTAGATCTGTTTGAAAGAACTTCATACACGTTCGCCCTTCATTTCATGCAAGATTCAAGTGTATCGATGACAGTGTAGTAGATGGTTATGTGGAATTGATCTCTGGCACTCGATACTTCTGGAGTCCTTCCATCATTTACTTGTTTTTTTCTAATGCTTCTGCAGTGGTGAACTGCTTGATAATCAGTATTTGGCAGTATTTGTTTTGTTTTCAAATTTCTCAAAATCTTCTCTTAAAATACGTAAAGACCTTGTTAATGACTGGTAGAGATCTGTGCGCGTCTTTAAATTTATTTCCGAATCTTGGAGAGCTTGACTCATGTGATGAAACTGCTGCAGTATATTATTCCACAGAACCAATATAAATACATACTCTAGCTTTTGCGTTTTGTTGGTGATGTTTTCAGCTTCTCTTTGGGTATCTCCTTTTTATGTCTGGTCTTCAGCAATATTTTCTAAGACAGCTATAATCTGAGTGTACAATTCCAGGATTGCACTCATTGCTATAGCATGAGCTTCCCAACGTGTATTAGAAAGACATTGTAATACTTAATCATTGCCTAAATATGTTTTAAGAACTGCACATCAGTGAGTAGAGGCAGCAAAAAGTATAGAGCAACTGGATAGTAGGAAAAAAGCAACTGCTTCCGGACAACAGTCTACTGCGCTACATCCTACAAGATTAAGTGAATGTGCAGCACGTGGTATAGAAATGGCATGTTCATTATGTTGTAAAATTATCTGTTCCATGCTTTTATAACGCCCTGACATATTGGCAACATTGTCATAGGACTGGCCTGTGCACTTAGAAAAATCAGTGTTGCGAACTTCACATAAATAGTGAAGTACTTGATTTGCACTTTCTTCACCAGTGTGACTTTTTAAGCTAGGAAGTGTGATAAATCGCTTGACGGGTTTTCCATTTGTCGGAGATACATATCTTAAAATATTACTTAGCTGATCTGTATGGGAAATATCAGGAGTGGAATCTACAGACAAGCTGAAATATTGAACTATACTTATTTCAAATAGTTGATAGAACTTTATCGCTTATTAAGTTTATTCTTCAGACGTTGTTTTAGACGTATACGATGGGTTGCCCTTTTCCGTGTTACCGTATTTTGAGATGTGACCTGCTAAAAATGGATCAAACTGAGCAACAAGTTCAAGTAAACGCCCAAAACTTTCCATTTTGTGGGGACTCAAACACTTTATTCTTCCTCAAAAATATAGTCCACGTTCAGCGATAGTTACATTGATGGCAACAATGCGTTGCCAAATGGCTTTCTTATACTGGCATTCTTCGTTGATTTGTGTTTCCAGCTCATGAGTTAAGCCAAAACTATGTCTTTGGTTTAAATATGACAACATGTAATCTCTGTGAATTGAATTGTTTTCGTATGTATCAGTCACATTCAAGTTGCACAAGTTGCTAAATCCATCTGTAGCAAATCGAGAATTAAATGATTTAGGACTGAATAGTTTGCAAACAAAACAACATACAGAGCCAACTGATAGCGGATACAATAGCACTTGTCTTACAGTTTTCACCATGAGCTTGGCACCCTAGAAGGTATTCTGGCTACAGAACCTTGTTTGTTTACCATCCAGAAATTTTAGACAGATTTTCAAATGGTCCACTGTGATGTTGACGGTCAGTTAGCGCTCTTTCAATCCAGTAATTTACCTCATCAGAAGAAAAATGATTCCATAAAGTAGGATCTGTATTTCTGTTATTCATGGGGTCTATAGATATGACAGTTTCAGATTCTAAAATAGTTTCACTTTCTACACTAATATTAATTTTTTTTTTTTTTTTTTACTACAGCAAGGAATGGATGTAGAATTTGGAACATTATTTTTGTATTGCTATTAAAATTTCAGCAGTAGCAGTACTAGTACAATGATTTGCACCCATTAAACTCAAGCGTCCAATGGAAGAAGTCTCTTCTGATTCATTACGTTTTAAAAAGGAAGTGAATTTTACAAATGTCCTTAGGGATTCATAAATCCTTTTTTTTACTTTGCGATTTTGTTTTTGCGTTCCACTTAGTTGTTGCCATTTCATTTTACCTGGATATAGAATTATATCACCTATTGAATTTGGTTCTACCATAGCAAATACATTTGAATAATTGAAAATAAATAAAATCTGCATTCAAATTTGGATGTTAACACAAAAATTTATATTTGAAAACTAATAAGTTAAAAAAATAATTTGGAACACCTAATTTTGTTCTTCAGGTCTGAGATAGTCAGAAGAAAATAGTACTTACAAGCAGTAGGAAATAATTGCATTTGTTTGTTGTACGTTTGTTGTTTTTGGCGGGCCCTTTGCAGATCTCCACAAGTGTTTCTCGTCTTGAAATAATACTTAAAAACTTGTGCATTCATTTTCCGTCCTTTAATGCTGCGTCGTTACAGTTTGGTGGACTCCTGCCCATAGCTTACAGAGGCAAAAGTGGTTGAAAGAGCATGATAGAAATACAACGGTACATGCAGCCTGAAGACACGTTTGGGTTAGCTTTGCACAGGACCAGATATGTCATGAGTCACGTAATTATAGTGCTGTCGGTGCGTTCTTATATGGTCGACAAGAGAACTGAATGTGAGGTTATACCCAATCGGTCCGAAATGAAAAGGAAAATATAATTGTTACCACGTACAAAACTCAGGAAATGGTATCAGTTTCATTTAGGGCCCTGCCAGTTCCCTTCCATTACGGTGCTCGCTTTTCCTCGTGTGTCCTGTCTGCTTGGCATCTGTGGGTCTTTACTTTGAACAACTAGTGCCCCTATTTTGTTGATGCCCTAATAAGCATGTGCTTACCTTGCTTATTGGGTAATCTGCTCCTGGGCTCAAGTGAAATGCCTGGGGAACGTTTTTACAGAACTACATATGACGTATACAAAATGTTTTGTTAAAGCCTAAGATCCATAACTTTGTGGTTTTTTTAGGTTACTAGGTACGTTCATCATAAAATCATTGGAAAATTGCATGATGCAAAAGTGATGCTGGCTTTGGGAAATACTGTTTGGATTGATCCAATGGTAAGTATGCCATTTTCTTAAAAAGAAATGCGTATTTGAGTGGGCCTCTAAAATTATCCAAATTACTTTAAATACAGTAGAACCTATAGCTTGAATTACTGCTTGCCCACATGAAGGGAGGCTTATTTGGGGCTCTGCTTTTGGGTCATGAAGTTGGTTGTAGGTTTAGTTTTTGTTTTTTAAGGGAACATTTCACCTGGTAACCCCGAACACCATACACTCACACACGTACGGCCGAAACAAAAATTTCATGAAATTATACCTACTATACGTGACATTCTCTAATGTTTACTATTCTACTTTTTTAAGTGTTGATCACAAACCTTTAAGTAGACTTTACAGTCCATACTGTTTGAGAAACCCAGGGTCAGTGCCCCCCGTAACAGAACAATAGCCCCTGTCTTTTCTATTTTTTAAATGATGTTAAAGCCCTGGGACATGATCAGTAACGTCACGGATTCCAGTCCTTGAGCATTCAAAGATGGGTTTTATTACGTTGACAGTTTCTACTCTGTTTTATGCAGTAAAAATTTACTAAGCACCCACTATGTGCTAGGAGCCCTGGTGGTGCAGTGGTTAAAGCAATTGACTGCTAACCAGAAGGTCAGTGGTTCAAAACCCCCAGTGGCTCCTCAGGAGAAAGATGTGGCAGCCTGCTTCCGTAAACGTTTACAGCCTTGGAAACCCTATGGGGTCACTATGAGTTGGAATCGACTCAACGGCAGCGGGTTTAGTTTTTCAGTGCTGGGAAGAAGCCCTGGTGGTGCATTGTTAAACACTGGGCTGCTAACCAAAAGGTCCGTGGTTCTAACCGACCAGCTGCTCCAAGGGAGAAAGATGTGGCAGCCTGCTTCCTTAAAGATTACAGCCTTGGAAACCCTATGGGGCAGTTCTACTCTGCCCTGTAGGGGCACTATGAGTTGGAATTGAGTTGATGGCCATGGGTTACGTGCTAGGACCTGTACTGGGCACTTGGGTTCCATCAGTGAAGAAAACAGAGCAAGACTGCCTTGTGGAGCTGACTTAGGGGTAGGTGGCAGGGAGTGATGAGTGTGGTGAAGCAGTGGGACCTCAGCACTTGGGCCCTAGCACCTCATGTGCTAGCACCGTCACCATCTCCTCTCTGCTTTGTGCCCCGAGACTCTAATGTTCAGTTCGGAGTTTTGTTCTGTTAGACTTAAATCTTGAATACTATGATTATTTGTAAGATTTAAAGGGATTCAGTTCATAAAAAACTTTTACTGAAGGTTATTTTTATAATGTTAGAAAAGCTTTAACACTTAAAAAGGGGAGTTTGGTTATAAGATTTAAGAATAAGAGGAGAAAGTAGTTTCTGAAGGGAAAGTGTAGATTACCGATACAGGTGGAGATTTTATTGGGGGAAAACAAAGAAACTTCGTTCAGCTGGGGTTTTTTAAACTGTAGCTAAGAGAATGAAGCAGAAGAGGAAACCTACCTGGCAGATACTCTTCTGCTGCTCCAAAATGTGTCATGGTGTCCCACTGGCATGCTGCAGGCTGGGTAGACGTCCCCCACTCCTGCCTGCTTTTCCACCCAAAGCAGCTTGGCTCCTGCTTTGAGTGGAGAAGGCTCTTCTGTACATTCCCAGCTGGTGTTCACCTAGGAGGGTACGCAGCCAGTGCCAGCCCGTCCCTCACCCCTGACCTGGGCGAGGGATGCTCGGTCTTGGGTCCGCATCCTCCATCAACAGCAGCAGACTTGTGGATTTTCAGGTTTGACTTAATTGTGTATTAAATCGCACTAATGTAATTTCACATTAAAGCAGACTGTTACTTTACTTAATGCAGATTATTCCTGCTTTGGTTAGTTTTTTATAAACTGAAATGGCTAAGGATGTTGGTTGCAGAAAAGACAGTTTATGGAGGAAACCGCCCACCGCGCAGGACGTAGGGCCTTGGTGTCGGCCCCTTCTGGGCACCTGATAAGGCTGTCCTATCCCCTGCCTCCCCAGGGCTGCCTCCCCAGGTTCTGAGCTTTAGGATCCTCCTTGTTAAGGGAGGTCTGAGGGGCAGCATGCTGTACAGAACATAATCAGCACTTAATCGAGGCCTCTACCTGGTAAAATCGAACAAGTCGGGTCAAAGCAGTGAGCTTTTCTCAGAATCTTGTGTCTGGTTACAGCATTGCAGATTGGTCTTGTCTAGGGACTTTTTTCCAGGATTTGATCTTGGTCTCACCCCAGGCCTGATACATTTGTAGGGGATGGGGTGGGCTCTGGAAGATTCCGACGTGACCTTGGTTATAAAGTAGCGGGGAGCTGCCAGTAGGAAACCTTGCACACGTGGCACGGGCCAGACTGCATTCGGCATCCCAGGAGAGAGGCCTCGAGGCCATGTGAGAGTGTTCGTGATTTGTTCACAGTTCAAGTGTGATTCTTGAAAATGTTGTATTTTTTCTTTGATTCGAGGTGCACATTACAAAACTTTCAAATTTGAAAACTTCTGTTGTTGATTATAATGTTCGATCTGAGATTTTGTCCATGGGAATGGGCGTTGATAATTCGGAACATATAGAACAACTGAGAAAGTTATACAAAGGAGCTACAATGCCAGCTTTTGAAGAAACCCTGTAAGTGGATTTTTCTCTCCTTTTTGGAAGAGCTTCTGTGTGGAAATACAACTCACAAGTATTGTAGACTTTTTATTTTTTTTTTTAATGAAAGTGGAGAGAATAGTTGTAACGAGTCCTCATGCCCTCATCACCCAGCTTCAGTAATTATCAAGTGTTTCAGAATCTTATTTCATCTATACTGCAACCCACACATTTGTTTTTGGTGAAGTTTATAATGCAAGTACGTTATTTCACCTGTAGCTCGTACAGAAAAGGATTTTTATTGATGCTTTAGAGGTAGCACACGTACAGAAAAGTACACACAGAAGTTATCTGGTGTGAACACACCCATGTAGCCAGCCCCAGATTAAGAGTGCATGACCCAGAGGCCTCTTCACGCGCCCTTCCAGTTACTTCCCCTCCCCCAGGGGAGCCACTGTTCTGATGTGGAAAAGCACAAGACGGGTCTAGCCTGGTTTTATACTTCGTGTGACTAAAATCATAAATAATGTCTCTCTTGTGCCTGGCATCTTCAGCTCAGCGTTGCTTTTCTTCCTCCCTTGGCAGAATATTATATTTTGATTTGAAATGTTTGTGAATTTTTCCTGCATTTTTTTTTAACATTTTATCATTTTATTGTACTTTAGGTGAAAGTTTACAGAATATATTAGTTTCCCATTCAAAAATTTATGCACAGGTTGTTCCGTGACATTGGTTGCAGTCCCTGCAGTGTGCCAGCACTCTCCCCCTTTCCCCTCAGGTTCCCTGTTTCCATTTGTCTAGTTTTCCTGTCTGTCAGTGGCTTCCTTTGCCTTAGTGACGTTTTGCTGACTTCCCCTGTATTGTGTATTGCCTTTCCCTTCACCAGTTAACACATGACTGCTATCTAGTTAGTGGCTTCCCGTGCCCGCCCCTCCCCTCCCTGGTAATCATCACAGATTGTTTCTTTCTGAGTTTTTATAATAGTGGTCTCATGCAATATTTGTCCTTTTGTGATTGACTTGTTTCACTCGGCATAATGCCCTCTAGGTTCATCCATGTTGTGAGATGTTTCACGGATTCACCGTTGTTTTTTATTGTTGGTTGTATTCCGTTGTGTGTATGTACCATAATTTGTTTATCCATTTGTCTGTTGATGGCAAGGATACTGGACAAGAGGCCTGGGGTGGTGAGTGTAAAGGTCCAGGGACTGAACCCTGGAGCCCCCAGCACATAGAGGTAGTGGCACTGAGGGGATATCAGCAGAGGAGAAGGAAGACAGAGTGTGCTGTACTGGAGGGCGAGTGAGCAGAGTGTTTCACGGAGCAGGGAGTGATGAGCTGTGCCAAAGGCTGCCGAGAGGCTAAGGCAGATGAGGCCTGAGACTGACCACGAGATTTAGTGACATGGTCACTGGTGACCTTGAAAGGTTCCTAAACTGCAGCTGAAACAGTGGAATTTAAAAGACCTTGGCTAAGATTAAAACAGTTTATATTCCTAAATTTTTCAGAGTTTTCTATCATAGTAAAATTGGGACCTATTCCGAAATTCATATGGGATATCAAGGGACTGAGAATAGCCAAAACAGTATTGAAAAAGAAGAGCAAAGCTGGAGGGCTAACTTACCGATTTCAGAATTTACCACAAACGTGTAGTAATCAAAACAGTGTGGTACTGGCATAAGGAAAGACATGTAGACCATGGAATAGAATTGAGAGTCCAGAAGTAAACCCCAACATCTGTGGTCAATTGATTTTTGACAAGGGTGCTGTTCAGTGGAGAGAGGACAGTCTTCTCAACAGAGGGTGCTGGAAGAACTGGATATCCATATGCAAAAGAATGAAGTGGGATCCTTACCTTACACCATATTAAAAAATTAACCCCAAATGGATCAAAGACTGCAGTTTGTGGTGCTTGTGGGATTAGGATATATGTTCTTGGGTTTCTACACATTTTCAGGAAACAAAGATTGTCGTACTTACATCCTTTTACCAGAATAACTAGATGGTGCCCACCTACCATTATTGAACGTTTTGATCAAGGATGGATGCTGATCAAAAGGAGGGAAAATGTGAACCCGAGTTTAAAATTCATATGAAAACCAAACTTACTGGACCCACTGAGACTGGGGGAACCCCCACATCTATTGCCCTGAGATAATCATTAAATCTTGAACTGAAACTGTCCACTGAAGTCATCTTTAAGCTAAAAATTAGTAAAATATGTTTGCCTTGAACATTGAGCCCTTTTAAAGAATTGTCTATATGAGCTCAAATTTACAACAGTTAATTCTAAAGCCTGGATGAAAAGTTCAGGGGGCAGTTAAGTCTAAGCTAAAAGAAAACAGCCAGAGATGGAGAGAATGGCCGTCTATAAATGAGTCCGACACTACTCGAGTCTGACTCCAGGTAAGAAGCACTTCACAGTCATTGATTGCCTGCCTTTCACTTCTTGCTGGGGAGTTCCTGTAGAGAGCCACACTTTGTGAGCGTCCCCTCAAATCCGAGAGGTTGTGATTCACCTCTGTGTCTTCTCCCCAGGACACCTCCTAGAGCAGAAGATGCTGCTGCTCTGAAGAACACAGGGAAAGAGGACGGGGGTTCTGAGAGAGGCGCTCATTCTGGGACGAACTCGGAAAACCCAGAGCACGGTCAGTGCTGTCATTTAAAAGATGGCTAACTTAAATCATTCATACTTTGAAAATCTTCTAATGTGGACTTTCCACTTTCAGATGCATTACAGAGAAAGTGACAGAACTGATACTTGCCCAGCTGTTCCTGTTTGTGACAATTCTGCTTCCAGTGTTTTATTTATTTTTATTTTGTAACGTTTTCCCTTTTTGTTGTTTGAGGTATAACACGTAGCCAGTATAGCGCACAGATCTTAAGTGTACAGCTCAGAGATTTGTTAACATATTTCCACATCCATTAACCATACCCAGATCAAACTACTGATCATCTCTAGAATCCCAGAAGCCATGAACCTTCCCCATCTCTGTGCCTCCCTACTAGTAATCACTGTTCTGACTTCCATCTCTGGTTAGTTTTGCCAAACTGGAAACAAAGTATACACTCTGGTATCTGACTTGTCTCACTCAGCAGTATGTCTGTAAAATTCATCTATGTTATTCCTAATAGCAGTAGTTCTTTTTGATTGCTGAGTTGTATTCGATAGTATGAATACGCCATAATTTATTTATCTGTTCTCTTACTAGTAGACATTTGGGTTGTTTTCAGTTTTGGGTGATTAAAGCTGTCATGAACACAAATGCAATGCAAAATAAACTGATCAGGGATAAATCAGATCGTAGACCATCTAAAAAGGCCAAAAAGATACATAAAATAAAGCGAATATTAAAGCTGGAAGAAAACCACCCATGGACATTCTCATTCAAGTCTTTGAATGGAAGCTGAAAATGTTTTAGAATGAGAAGTTTAAACTTGCATTGTTGTAGAGAATGTTAATTTGTGTTCTGCATTGGTTCATGTGCATAGTGGGTTGCTGTTCTAGAAGCCATCTTTAATGGGATCCTGGTGGTGCTAACCAAAAGGTTGGCAGTTGAATTCCACAAGATGCTCCTTGGAAACCCTATGGGGCAGTTCTACTCTGTCCTGTAGGGTTGCTATGAGTTAGAATCGACTTGATGGCAGTGAGTTTGGGTTTTTTTGGTGGGTTAAGATGGACCCAAAGCAGCCTGAATATTTGTAAGCTGTGGGCGCCGATTGCAGCGGGCTTCCTTCTCAAAGGCCTAACTTTACTTTCCTGACTGTTTAATGTTTGTCAAAGCCTGTTTTTATTTTAAAATGTTATGTTAGTTTTGCTAAGTGATGTACATTGTAATTTTTTCTAATTGTTCTTTGCAACTGGATACTGGGTTACTATAAAATTTACTCTTAACCTGAGTAATTTCTTAGCTAAAAGTTTGCATAAAGTGCAAAAAATAATACGTTCATATGTGGTAGAGTTACATATAAATAATAATCTGTGAAAAACTTGACTTTGATTTTGTACAGAGGCTTTATCTGAAAACACTGAAGACACTTCCATTAACAAAAGTGCACAGCCAGATCTGAAAAGGTATGCCCATCCATTGTTTGAGTCCACTGTCCTTAACTAGCGAATAAATACTGACGAAGATGTAAGCCATTTTCTTTTCTTCTAGTTTCCACCCACAGATAAAATGGTTTCAAAAAGACGATGTGATCATCTTAAAGATAAAAATAAGGAATGTGAAAGATTACAGATGTAAATATTTCAGAGATAGAGTGGTTTTCAGGTAGGTTTATGTATATTTTATAAATTAGAAATAATTCCTCACATTTTAAAAGACTGACTTCATTTCTTTTTCTAAACCTAGTGCCTGGGTGGGAGACAGATTTTACTTGGCTGATATGGAGCTTCAGGCCAACATAATAAAAGACGACTGCAGATGCATCATTAACAATGAGGAGCCCGTCATCACTCTCGCAAAAGAGAGAAGGGAATCTTGGTGTAGCTTACTCAAACGGAAGGTGAGTGAAATGAACCTTGGCTGGTCTTAACACCATTGGTGTGTTTATTCTCTCACGTAATGTAAAATGTTATATTGAACAGAATCCGAACGTGGCTTTTGATTTTGATCACTGGGAGGAATGTGAAGAGGACAGCCACTTCTCCAAGGGTAAGGTGCCACACACCCACTCGCTGAGAGGCCTTTAGGTCCTGAGTGCCAGGGGGGCAGACAGATCACTCACTTGGGCTTGTGGCCTTGGTGGAAATGGGTCATTAATGTAAAACCAGTTGCCGTGGAGTCAATTCTCGACCCTACAGGACAGAGTAGAACTGCCCGATAGGGTTTCTAAGGAGCGGCAGCGGCTGGTGGATTTGAACTGCTGACCTTTTGGTTAGCAGACCAGTGCGCCACCAGGGCTCCTGTTAATGTAAACCCCTTAGGAATTGGTTTTCTTCTTGTGGTTAATCTTGGTGTTTAATGTCCTGATTTGAGTATGCATCAACCCTTGTTTATAAATATACCTTCTTAAGGTTAAAAAAAAAAAAAAAAAAAGTGTAAAATAACACTTTTATAGTTTTTCCAGGAGAGTGTTTATAGGCAGACCAATTTTATCTGCTCATTTCTCACCTACAATAATAGGAGAAATAATAAGGTATAAACAAGTGGCAGAATAAAGCTAGAAACCCAGGGACTTTCTCTGCGTTTATGAAAATACTAGGGAAACTCTTCAGTCCGTACTTAACATGTCTTATACTGTCTAACTTCTCTTAGTTGTGAATTCTAAAAGCCCACCCAGCAAAGTGGCAGAAGTGGTTGAAAACAGTGACAAGTCTTCAGAGGATGGCAAAGTGAGAGTGAGTGAGACTGTGAATTAAACCCCGAAGCCTGGCCAGATGACCTGGAACAAAAATGGACATTGCTGTGTGACGGAAAGTTAAGAAAACAAGCAGTCACGTCAAAACCTGTTTTCACCTGAAGGATAAATGATGACTGTCACCCTGCAGCGCTGGGGTTGGTAAGGGTGAAAAATTTAAAGCTGGGCTGATGATAAGCAGGGTTTTTGGGGAGGGTCCGAGCGGCGCTGCCCACAGTGCTGGTCACACGCCCAACTCATACGTCTGCTCTCCTCGTTGCCTCTGACAGGAAGCTAGCTCATCCTGACACGTTCAAGTTTGAGTGATAAAGAGAAAACCATGACATTTGGATAATGAAATGGAGTTGGTTCATTGTTCTTGTTTTTTTTCACGTAGACCTATGTTTAGCACATTTCTTAAAAACCTGGTCTTGCACATATAAATTGAGGTTTCCATCTTACAGATTCATACTCAGCTCGAGTAACAGACCCCTTAACCACGAGTTAGTTGGGATTAGATGTGACTGCCTCCGTGTACTAAGTCTCAGTATTCCTGAGACAGCGATAGCTCCTATGTGTCAGTTTACTTCTGATGAAGAGAGGGTCCAAGGCTAAAAACAGGTTTGTCTCAGCAATACCTGCAAGACAAAGGACCTTCTGGAGGTGAATCTACTGCTTCTAGGTAAACCTCTGGGCCTGCAGAGCACTGGGCAAACAGGACGAGGATTTCTCCTTAGTGGAAACTTAAGGAGGACCTGTTGGGTGCCTGGAGGAAGCGCTCAGAACACCTGGAAGTGATACCCCAAAAACATGCACAGCCCCATCCGAGGGGGAAGGCGTGGTGAAATTATCTGTGAGGAGAGTGTATAGTTGTTCCCGTTTCAATATCACAACACCCAGAGGCTGACTTTTCCTGTTTCTTTGTTAACTGTAAAAGTTACAAAGGTGACCTATTGGGAAATGTGGAATCCTATTTACAGAACATGTCCTTTGAGTGACTGTCCCGAGGTCTTTATTCTTGAAGTTTACATCAGAAAGCACAGATGCCTGAGTTTACGTATGTCCCAGGTATAACCTACCACTTGAAGTAGAGGTAAACTCTGTCATGGAGCTGTTCTGTCAGCAGGCCTCGATCCCCCCCTAGGTCTCAGTTTCCTCATCTGTAAAATAAGGCATCCAGCTTGGGGCCTCGCCTTGCCTCGCCTCAGGGAGTGCCCGCAGCGTGCTGCTGGCCGGCTCGTTTTTTTCTGCGCAGTGGCCCTGTGCTGGGTGGTCACAGCAGTGCCCTCTGGTGGGAGGACGTGGTGTCCTGCTGCCAGGAGCGTGTCCCTGCTGCCGCTGTGACTTTCAGAGGTTGGCTGGCAGGTTTTAAACTGGCCCACGAAGTAAGTTGGTGATTTTCTTTTTTTTTTTGGCCAGATTGGCCTGGCTCTTCAGGAGGCAGAGGGTTCTGGTGTCTTTGCTGGTAAAGGTTTTCCCTCTGTGGACTCTTCTGATGTTCTATAGACAGAGTCTTCTTCCTGTCGGTGGAGATGGCTGGGTAGTGATGGGGCCTCACTAGGCGTGAGCTTGTCTCTGAGCTGTCGCCGCCTCCCGTGGAGGCTCCGTGTGTTTGTCTCTTGTAAAACGGAGCGAATAATAAGAGCAAGGAGGAGAGCTGCACCAGGGTTTGTACCCCACGTACAAATGGGGAGCGGTCCTAATTGCAAAGTAGTTGATGATAATTCTCTCACGTAGTTAACAAAGAGCTAACTGAAAATGTTGCAGGAGGGCCGTTATGTTTAACTCTGTTGCTATTTTCAGACATTTCAAATTTACTAATATATGAAGTTCTGACTAACATTTTGTAGGACATAAGATGCTGACTTGTGAAGGGTAACCACTTAGAAATTGGTTTTCTGTTCTGCTGTCAGTATGTACTGATTTCGTGTTTGGGGTAAATTTCTGAAATGCAAGGGAAAATACTTCTGGCTCTGTGCTTCTCTGATCGCTTACATACTTAGTCAATTGTAATTGTAATGTGAATGTCCTTTGGGGTACATCATCAATAAAATGTCAGTGTTTTCACAGAAGTGCTTGCTTTGACATTTTTTAAAACATCATTTTCCCTGAGTGCCGAACATAAAACAGAATTTTATTCACCACACTTTCTGTTTTGGCCACAGTGGCAGTGAGGGTTGTTGGGGTGTCTGTGACGCGGACACCATCCATGGCAATGCTCATGGGCACCCAGGCTCCAGTGGTTCTGGACAGTCGGCTTTGCAGTAGATCCCGTCCGTTGAGCCCGGGATAGACCTGCCACCTGTGTCACTAGGGAACGTACAGGGATTGCAGTACTTTTTTGTGTGGGGTGAGGGGATTGGTAGCAAAATATTTCTACTTCAGTATTTTAAAAATGTATTTCAGTCAAAGCAAAAACATCACCATTTTTATATATAACATATATAAAAATATACCGTATTTACCACAGATGTAAGGCGCACCCTTTATTTAAGGAGGTGTGGTTTCCCCTTGTTAGATGGTTGCCACCACAGTGGTGTGGTAGGTTTTTCTCTCAGCCCCTCCCTGGCCATCAGCATTCTCTCAGGTTGCATCTTCCGCTGCTAGCCTCAGCAAACACCTGTCATCTCTCCTTTCTAGACCCCCCTACTCGGAGAACTAAGGATATCTAACAGCATAAACAGCTGAATCCATTTTTTCCTGAAGAACATCAGGAAGAAATAACCACAAATGTTGCTTACAAAAATAGACTGATCACAGTTTTGACTTGGCTGCAAGCGACTCAGCTTGTTACTTCGGCTCTTCCTCTGGTGGAACAACTTCCATCAGCATCTGAAGGTACATGGTAATCGGTTCTGAAATAAGTAATACGGTTAGAAAAAAAAGTAAAAGTCTCCACTTCAGTTACCGCTGTCAGTGAACCAATCCCAGAAAAACCAAACCCATTGCTATCGAGTCAGTTCTGACTTATAGCAAGCCTAAAGGACAGAGCCGAACTGCCCCATAAGATTTCTAAGGAGTGCATGGTGGATTTGAACTTGCCAGCCTTTTGCTTAGCAGCCGTAGGTCTTAACCACTATGCCACCAGGGTTTCCTGTCAGTGAACAGAAGTATTTTATTATTCTTTCTTTGTAGATGCTGATGGATGGATGGGATGGGTGACATGTGGCCTCTGCTAGCCCCTGCCCTCAGGGCACAGTGATGCTTACTTAGCATTAGGACATTCTGGGAGCTGCATTGGTTCTCTGGAGATAAATTCCCATTGAAGCATTAGGGGCCTGCTGAGTATTCTATTGCCACCAAACCATTTACTCTTTAGGAAAAAATATGAATGCGTCAACTACATGTCACCACCACTGGCCAAGAGTCCGAATTACTAAGACAGCATTTTGCTAAAATGCAGATTGTTCATTTTTTTTTCATCTCCTTAATCTCAACTTCTTATCAGTTTTTTGAGAGAGGAGCTTGGCTAAATTTTCTATGACAGAAAAGTGAGACATTTTGTACCATTAAGTTTTAGGACATTCTGGTGAGGTTCTCCGTCAGTGTGATCAAATCCAGATTCATTTTCAGAGGCATGGGAATACATGCTTTTTTCTTGTACTGATATCTTTCCTTTCTATAGAAGTGGGCCTGCAATTTCTCTCTTTCTCGGCTCAGTGTTGAGATCAGAGTAAAAGGGGGAAGGGGGAGATGTTTCAAGAAAGGGAAAAAAATCCTTGGCAGAAATAATACAGCCTTGTTTATTTCACTTTGTTAGTCAAAATGAAACGTATTCTCTCTCTTGGTTATAACACCACTGTGAGGTAAGTGTTGATATCTAATTTCACAGACAAGGAAACGGAAAGGCATTCTCTGGCCCACCTGGCTCCATCTAAAGTCGTAGGTCAACTTCATTGCCTTCCAGTGGGGTTGAGTTTCTTTCTTTCATACTTTATTCTCCCTAAATTGTATGTATGTAGATGAAAACCTCACGGGAGTGCCCGAAAGGATGCCTGTACTCCCCTGTTCAGACAAGCTGAAGGAGAAAGGAAGGGGCAGGGTTTCAATCACATTTAGTCAGTAAATATTAACTGGCTGGTATACACCAGATACTGTGCTTGGTCCAGGATTGAATCATCACAACCCCAGTCCCTGCCTCCAAGGAGCTCACAGTGTCTGGAGAGAGAGGCCGGGACAGTGCAGCATGGTGAGGGTGCTCAGGATTTCCTGCAAGTCAATCTGCCGTATAAGGTAAAGCATTGTGAATATAATATAATTAGGTGTAATTTAGAAACTCTTTTGATGTACGTTGGTATTAGAAGAAAGGCCTGGTGATCTACTTCCAGAAAATTAGCTATTGAAAACCCCTTGGAGCACGTTCTACTCGGACGCACGTGGGTTCACCGTGAGGCACCACCGACTCGATGGCAACCCGTGGTGGTGGGGGCGGTGGCCCAGTGATTTCTTTTTAGATGTGAAAATGTCTGATGTAGTTAAATGTTTAAACATTAATTGTCCTAAAGTAGATAAGGAGCCAGGGTTGCCGAGTGGAAAGCCAGACCTTCAGCCTGGGAACTGGACAGCTCAGGCCCTTGTCCCAACTCCCTGGTCCCAACTCTGGCACTTCTTGGATGTCTTTGGGATGCTGCTGGGCCTCTTAGGTGATGTCTGCATATGTGTCAAATGAAAATGGTGCTTTCCTATCCTGCTTAATTGATGGGAACAAAGGAGGCCACAGGCGGGCCGCAGGGTGTCATGCTGTGAGATGTGGGTCCCGCCTCCTAAAGAGCTGGAACGTGCTGGCTGCATGAGGGACTGTGGTAGCACAGCCTGGGGGGAACCAGGACTGGGGAGGTGTGGGACGCTCTGCATGTCTGGGCATCACTATGGGCAGGACCGCCGCTCGGTTGATACTCACTCGAGATTCTCTGAGCCCATCCAAACTTGTGATAGACAAAGAGGAAGTAAAATACAAGGCCGCTTAGTATGAATAACACACAGTAGAGATACTCCCATGTGGGCTCACTGATGATCGGGGCCAACACCAAAA